ATGTACAAAGATTGTGAGAAGCTGGAGCATTTTCTGCCTCTAGTATAGAAGCTTTGAGCAGGTCATGGACAACAGGCTGTGTTTCCGCTCTATTAGAAATTCAGGTTAAAAAGTACAATTTTCAAGCATTAAAAGACAAATCCTGTTCTTTACCATTTCAAGCTTTATTGCCTTATCTACTGATGATGATGCTGTTGCAACCCAAAATGTTCTCCAGAGGAAGTCCGCCAATCTCCAAATGCTGATGTTGCTTTAAAAAAACTTCAACTAGACAGAGGAGGAGGAAGAAAGATTTTTATAATAATAATAATTATTATTATTATTATTATTATTATTATTATTATTATTATTATATTTATATTTATATTTATATTTCCCGCCTCTCCCTACGGATCGAGGCGGGATTACACAATTAAATGAATACAATATGCAAAATGCAAACAATAAAATAGTGAAATCAAACAAAAGTAATAAATTATAAGAGCATAGAATATTATATAATATAATAAAATAAATAAAAATAAAATAAAGCCAAAGATTTTTATGGTTGGGACTGACAGAGAAGGCAAAAATAATGCAGTTTGATACCACTTTAAGTGTTCAGAGATAGACTTCCACACTGCAGGAATAATCCAGTTTGAGACTGCTTTAACTGCCCTGGCTCAATGCTAGAGAATCCTGGGAATTGTAGTTTATTGTGGTACCAGAGCTCTGGGACAGAGGCTAAAGGTCTCACAAAACTAGAATTCCCAGAATTCCATAGCATTGAGCCACCGAGGCAGTTAAAGCAGTCTCAAACTGGATTATTTCTGCAGTGTGTCTTGGACCATAGCTGTGTTAGTCAGATATTGTTGTTGTCGTTGTGTGTCTTCAAGTCATTTCCAACTTATGGCAACATTAAGGCGAATGTTATCATGGGGTTTCCTTGGCAAGATTTGTTCAGAGGCGGTTTGCTGTGGCCTTCCCATGAAGCTGAGAGAGTGTGACTTGTTTTATTTGTTGTTGTGTGTCTTCAAGTCATTTCCAACTTATGGCGACGTTAAGGCGAACGTATCATGGGGTTTTCTTGGCAAGATTTGTTCAGAGGAGGTTGGCTATTGCCATCCTCTGAGGCTGAGAGAATGTGACTTACCCAAGGTGGGTTTCATGGCAGAGCAGGGATTCGAACCCTGGTCTCCAACATCATAATCCAACACCCAAACCACTACGCCAAGCTGTCTCTCTCTCCGAACTTATTTAATGATATATCATGATCCTTCAGGATCTTGTCTCATCCCTTCATAGCTGGCCTTAGTCCAAGTCTTCTTCTTATTTCTTGACTGCAGATTAATGATTCAACCCAAGTATGAAAAACCTTAGAGAACCAGCATGGCCCAGCAGTTTTTAGTGTTCGGCTACGACTCTGGAGACCAGGGTTCGAATCCCTGCTTGGTCAAGAAACCCACTTGGGCAAGCCACACTCTCTCAGCCTCAGGGGAAGACAATAGCCAACCTCCTCGAACAAATCTTGTCAAGAAAACCCCTTGATAGGTTTACCTTAGGTTTGCCATAAGTCAGAAACAACTTGAAGGCAGACAACACACATATGAAAAATCTTGGACTATTTAAACCTCTTTATCGCCTCCTTTAATGTTGATTGTTTGTAGTTATCGTTGTTGTTTTCTTGATGTTCAGCTGTAAACCTGCCTTT